CTGAGGACTACACTTGCAGCTCTTGGGTTTGCTCCTTCTACTGCCGACCAGTCGCTGTTTCTACGCACCGACACCTCTTTGCTGCCGTTCTACATTCTCGTGTATGTCGACGACTATGTCTTTGCCACAGCGGACACTGCTGGACTCGCTTACGTGAAGTCCGAGCTGCAGAAGAGACACACGTGCACTGACCTGGGTGAACTGCGCAGCTACCTTGGCTTGCAGATCACCCGGGACAGAGCACAGCGCACCATTACCGTGACTCAGTCACACATGGTGCAGCAGGTCCTTTAGCGCTTCGACTTCACGTACTCCTCTCCTCAGGCAGCCCCAGGCATGAAACTCCGATGCAACACCAGTTGACCTGGTCCAAAGACTGGTCGGTAAGCTTCCGACCGTGATACATGGGGCCAGAGGCTAAGCTGGTGGGCGGCGTAGCGAACCGCGTAGGGCCACAGAAAATGAGGCGCACGGGCATGGATCATGGAGGTGCGGGCGAACTTCATGACCAAGCCTATGCGGCACCCAACAACTACGTGAGATTTCTGCTCCAAGGGAAACACCATGGTGTAGTGGGAGTAGTTGTCAACGATCTCCAGAAAGAAGCTGTCTCTCTCTCTCTCTCTCTCTCTCTCTCTCTCTCTCTCTCTCTCTCTCTCTCTCTCTCTCTCTCTCTCTCTCTCTCCCTCTCGCTCTCTCTCTCTCGGGCCAGGGTGAGGGGCAGGGCCCAAGACATCCAAGTGGAGAGTCTAGAAGGGCGCAGTGGCCGGACAAAGGGAGGAGGAGTGAGGAGTGGCATGCAGCCGACCCTCGATGCAGGGAGTCCACGGCGGCGCTGGCGAAGGAGGGAGCGACGCAAAGACGCGAGGGAGACTGGAGACAAGACACTAACTAGACATTCTACGGAGGCGTGGGAGGGACGGGTGACCAAGATGGTGGTGGCAGAGGACTGTCAAGTGGGTGAGCGACCGACAGGAGCACGACGCAGCAACCTGACTGGACGCTGCTACCTGGGGGGACTAAGTGTGCAGTATGAAGAGACCGGAGTAGGGCTCCCAGCGAAATGTTGCTAGGGGAGCGTACGTGTTACCGTCCATGCATGTCCCAACACGCTAAGATGGAGGAAACCAGACGTCGACGTGGCGGTCCTGAAGGTGTCCAAGACCTACCAAGTTTCTAGGGAATGTGGGGATGTGGAGATCAATGAGGACACCAGAGGGGACAACCGGGCACGGGAGAGTGGTAGAGCTGCGTGCTGCTGGTCATGACGAAGGATCAGCCAGTGCAACTGGAACCGGAGCAGGAAGCGGTGTGAGAGTTGTGTCATCGCGGAAGAAGTAATGAGACGCGCCAGAGTCCAGCGTGAAGGAGAGCGGCGCGTCAGCTGTAGGAACACCTAGGCTAGTGGCTACACAAGCACCTAGACTCAAAGCACACGCACCTATACCAGCAACGAGCAAAGATCCAAGTCTAGGAACACGCGAGCAAACAAAACCATCAGCATTTTAGTCAGCATCAGCATGCGAGGCATACTGACGAGCCTCATTCATGGTCAGATCAAATACAAGACTTCTTACGAGCAAGCACCTGCACCCTGCGCGGGGTGCGACCCTCAAAACCGTGGCGCTGACGGTAGAGGTCGTCAAGGCGGCGGAAGCAGTGCGCTGCAGAGTGGCCGCTGCGCCCGCATAAAGCGGGACTACCCGGACCCGTCCATATCCAGTACTCGCAGGTGCCGGAGCCGCGGCCAGCGGGACGGGGTCCCCAGCTGGCGGGGGTGCTGCTATGGCCGGTGCTTCCCAGACCACCAGGTCCCCACTGCTGCAAGGACCCCACTGCTGCAGAGGACCCCACTCCTGAAACTGCTATGGCACCTGCCGCCGCTGCTGCAATCCCTGCTGTGACTGCTGCTATTGCCCACCTCCACTACCAGCACGACTGCCGCCTCCATGCTTCCTTCTAGCGGAATGCTTGACCAGTAGGAAGGAGGGTACAAACAGGAATGTCGAGAAAGTTGTGTATCTGCTCTAGTGTATGCCTGACAGTAGACTAACATGCATATTTGTTATTGTTTGCCGCCGTTTTCGAAGCCTCTTCTGACATGTTCATCTGTATTATTCATGCGAAATCAAACATAACCAGTAAGGAAATATTATGAGCGTGCGAAGGATGAAATTTAGGCGAAGTTTGTGAGGCCTGAACTCGTTGTTTGAAGCCATTAATACATAAGAACATTTTTGCAGCACACTTAATGTTAATGTATTCAACCATTGAATGAGAATGCTATCTGCGAGTGCACGGTAAGTGCATCTTCTAGGGAGTACCAGGTGAAGATTGACCCGAGGGTCATAGCTTGACTGGAGAACACAACTGGTTCTTGTCTTTATGCAGGCAAACTCATTGTACGACCAGCTCTGCGGTGCTCAGGCTGACTTCAGAAAAACAGGCTGGAACAAGCGGAAGAGGAGATGGGTAGAGAACTGTAGACAGATTGCAACAAAAGGTGTTTTCACTTGTCCTCCTCCAAAACGGAGTCCACCTTGACTACTCGACAAGCTTAGTCAGATCGCGGTTCTGACGTTCGCCCGCCATCCGAAGTAGGGACAAGTGTAGACGGAACTACACGTCTGATTGGCTTCCACGCTCCAATATATCTGGAAACTTGTGTGATGACCAATGATAGGGTGTTTTTACACGTCATTGAGGGCCAGTTTGAGCTGATGGCGGGCAAACTTCGGTCAGAAATGCGACCTCAATTGATTTTTGGAAGCAGACAGCTGTCCTGTCCATTGAAGTCACACTAGGCTTGAGAAACTACAGAACACCCTTCGACTTCAACTGGTGTGGTCAAGGAGCTAGGGTAATTTCTGAACTCCCCCACCACCATCCCAGAAGTGTGGGAAAAGCGACGAGGGCAGGCTGGTGCTGAGAACGACGATGCCAAACCCAAGGGCAGCCAATAATCACGAGGCGACACGCCATCTCTGGGTACTTCCCATCCCATACCATGTCTCCGCGAAACTTTCGCACTTTCTGCCCAGCCCAGCCTCGTCTCGTCAGCTCGAGTGAGAGCCAAGCCGCACCCATCTAAAACCTGCAGAACTTCCGCCATTATTGGTGCTGACGTAAATCCCTCCCTCCCTCCACTGCTTGACTCGTCCGCCAACCGCACTGCGCACCCCTCCCCTTGCGCACCCCTCCCCCCGCCTCGGCCTCCCGCTTCCCCTCCCTTCCCCGCCATCTGACATAACGCGTCTCGCTCGCAACTCCGTCGCATCCCATCCCTCCCTCACCGCCGCCCTCACCTCCCCCTCCCCTCCTCACCTCACCTCCCCCCACCCAGAACGACGTTCCCAAATCAAGGCCCAGCCGCAACAATCCCAAGGGTTTCGATCGTTCCCATCCCAGCCATTGATCGCAGCACCTCAGCTGAACCTGAATTATATGGAGCACAATGGTGACAACGTTGCCTCGCTACTTATGTGACTATGATTCGACGCTTTAGCTTTTAGCTCACTCGAACAGGAGTAGCGCAAAGGGTTGTGACATTAAAACCGAGTAGTATTTAAATTTTATAAAGATACTCGTGTAATTCTCGATCCAAGAAGGCGGGGATGGAGGATTGGAGCAACAACGCGTTGCTGTTGGAAGCCGACGACGGCGGATTCCACGTCGACGATTGTGTTTACGAAGAGGACGAAATCGGTTACGCCGTCGACGTCGACGACGAGTCGCTTCCCTGGGAGCAGCATGTGCGTTAAGGCTTATGAGGCGCCTCAAAAGGCAGAACGTCCGTAAAGGCTCTCTTGTACAACTCAGCAAGTTGCTGAGGCGTGTTTCAGATTCTACTCCCTGGGAGGCTTTCGACTAGGAAATATGTTGATTGCCAGGATTTTTGAAGAATCTTGTCCGTCGCGTAGTGGCATTGCTTCAGTAAAAGTTTAAGACAGCCCCGGTGGCGTTTTTCATATTCCGCGTGTTGGCTTAAGCTTCGTAGATTGATCAACGGATCCGACACCATCATGCTTCTGACTAGACCGCGTTCTTATGTCGCTCGAATTCCTTTGCTCTCGTCTCATCCACCCGCCTTCCCGCTCCCTCTCTCTCCCGAGGGAACGTCGACGTGTTCAGTTCGTGCAAGCGACTCGGAGCGGAGATCCTGCGACCCATTGCTTTTGAGTCTACTCATAAGCCGACCCATTCCCTACCCGTTTCGCGCCAGCTGTCGCACTGACCCGTCTCCTGCCACTCCGTTTCCCCTGTTCTCCTCTCTCTCCATTTCTTCCGTGCTCTCGTCCCATCCCAATCCCCCTCGCTGTCAGGTCGAACGAGTTCAGACGGCAACGGGCGTCGTGCAGGTGACGGTGTGCGGCAATCGCGGCAACCCGCCTCTTATCACCTATCACGACGTCGGGCTCAATCGTAAGTCTCTCTGATAACCTCTGACGACGCAATAGTGAGCGCCTCCCTCCCTCCTTGCTGCCCCCTTCCGCGCGCCAGATTTCGCGTGTTTTCCAAGGCCTCCCGGATACCCCCCATCTCACTCTCCCCTCCCCGCTCCCCCCATCCCACCCTCCGCTTGTCGAATTCCACGTGCTTTCAAGGCCTCACGCTCTGCGCGGACATCTCCGCGCTGCTTGATACCCCTCTCACTCTCCCCTCCACGCGATTCCCATCCCGCCCACCCTCCGCGCGTCAGACTCCACGTGCTTTCAAGGGCTCATGCTCTGCGCGGACACTTCCGTGCTGCTTCTACGAAACTTCTGCATATTCCACGTCGACGCGCCGGGGCACGAGGTAAGCGCGCCCGTCCTGGGGTGTCTTCAAGGGAGCCGTCAGTTTTCCGCAGAGTTGCTTTTGAGGACGAGGGAAACTATTTTCGGCACGTCTCGAAAATCGTTCCGCAGAGGCCGTTTTTTACGACGGGGAAACGGTTTTTGACATGTCTCGAAAATCGTCTTGCAGAGGCTGTTTTTGAGGTCGGGGCAAACAACGCTCGTATGAAGAGTTGCGTCGAAAACCGCTCTCCCTGTCCCCATGCCCTGTCCCTCTTTCTTCCTGTGCGCCGCGCGCTGGAGGACGCGGAGGAGACCCCCCTGTCGCGCCTGCTGCACTCCGCGGACGATCTGGCAGAGCAGGTGGCGGAAGTGGCGCCTCATTGTGTACCCGGACCGAACCCAACCCCCCACTCTGTCCCCCCCCTCCATTCACTTCCCCCCCTTCCCATGTGCCGCGAGCAGGAGGACGCGGAGGAGATCCCCTCATCACAGCCGCTGCTGTGCGCGGACGATCTTGCAGAGCAGGTGGCGGAGGTGGCGCGCCACTTCGCGCTCGCTGACGTCACGCTCATGGGCGTCACCGCGGGCGCCTACGTCCTCACGCTCTTCGCTGTACGCCCTAGCTGCACGCTTCCCTGCCTCCCTCGCTGCTCGCCTTCCTGCCTGCCTGCCTGTGCGCCCGTCTGCCTGCCTGCCTGCCTGCCTGTCTCTGTCTGTCCGTCCGTCCGCCCGTCCCCTTCGTCTCCTCACCTTGTCCCTCCACTCCCACCACTGCACCCTCAGCCATCGCACCCTAGACTGGTGCAATACCTTTTTCTCGTGCCATGTGTCCCTTTCCTCCCCCCATCTTTCCCTCTTCCCACCGATCCAACCCCTGCCACCGCGCCCGCAGCTATCCCACCGCCATCTGGTGCGCGGGCTCATTCTCGTGTCTCCTCTGCTCTCGCCGCCCTCGTGGTCCGAGTGGGCGCACAACAAGGTGAGGCGCTGCGTGCACAACAGGGTGAGCCGTGGCGTGCAGTGAGACACTTGACGTGCAGCATGCAGCGTGCAATCATGTGCGCAATGGGGTGTGAGATAAGCGGAACAGTGGGGCACACAAGATGGCGTACGGATTCCTGTTATAAAATAAAGTAGTTTAGTTTAGTATGCATCAGTGTGTGTGAGTGCTGCACCAATTTCCGAAATTCCTGCCTCAAGATTTTCCGACCTCGTGTGTATCTTTTCCTTTGTCCTGTTCGTTTCCAACCGTGGTGCTAATGGTCATGCGCATCACCATGGGAGCAGGTGACCATGAGCGTGCTATCCTTTTACGGCATGACGTCATACATCAAGGACTCGCTCTTGGATCGATACTTCTGCCCAGTACGTGCCTCTCACTTCGTGTCTCTCACTTCGTGCCTCTCACTTCGTGTCTCTCACTTCGTGTCTCTCACTTCTCGCCACTAGCCACTCGCCCCTCGCCCCTGGCCTTTCCCCCTCGCCCCGCCTGCTCGTTTCCATTCCGCCTTGATGGCTTCCTGCCCCGTCCCCCCTCCCTTCTTCCCGCCCACACTCGAACCTTGTACCCCTTCTCCCGCCTCACGTCCTGCGACATGGTTCTTACCCCACCGCCCTTTTCATGCTCATAACCCTCACCTCCTTGTCTCTCGCCGTCCTCCCCCTCCTCCTCTCTCCCTCCCCCCACCCGCCCCTCGCCACACTCTCTCACATTTGTGTGCCATGCAGGCCACGGCAGGCTTCCACGGGCCGGCCTCAGATGCGCTCTTGTCCTTCCGCAGGGTGAGTGAGTCTGCTGGGAATGTACTTTCTGTCGGGTGAATCTGCAGTCAGGGAGACTTGTCTCAAGGGTGGGCAGTGCAGGGAGCTTGGTATGAAGTCTCTTCGGGTTGCTTTAGTTTGGGAAGCCACCATCAGTGCATGTGCATGTGCATGTGCATGTGCAGGTGCAGGTGCAGGTGCATGTGCATGTGCATGTGCATGTGCACATGTAAAAGCTTGTGGTCTCATCTGCAGTGGGCTGTATGTGCTGTCCCCGTGCTCTCACTGTATCTTCACTATCCCTTCCTTTCCCCCTCCCCCGCCATATAATCTGCGTGTTTCCTCTTGCCCGTACAGGAGCTGGACTATCACGAGCCTGAGAATCTAATGCGTTACTTCTACGCCATTCACAGGTACATCGAAGCTTATGCCTGTGCATGCCTTTTTTCATAATTGGGTTGGGTGCAGATGCATTTCCACTTTTCCCCTTCCACTCTCGCCTCGTCTCACTCTCTTTCTCTGCATATTGAAGCGTGCACAGCCGTTTTCCCTCTCTCATCCGCCAGCGCCTTTCCTCCGCCCTCCTGTCACCGCCCATTTCCCTTTTCCTCCTGCATCTTATCCCTCGTTCCCACCAGGCGCAGGAACCTGCTGCCTGGGCTGGCGGCACTGCAGGTGCCAGTGCTGGTGGGTGTGGGTGACTCGTCCCCCTTCAACCCCCTGGCTCGCACCGCCTTCCACCACCTGCACTCCAAGGTTCCTCTTCTTGCTCCTGGCGCCCCTCCTTGCTCCTCCCCTACTGCATCTCCATCTCCTTCTCCCGCCTCCTCTTCCTCTCCCTCGCCCTCTCACTCAAACTCCGACTTTCTATCTGAGGAGGAAAGGGGGGTGGAAGATGGGGGAGAGGAGGGTGGAAGGGATATGAGGTACAGAAGGTGCAGGGATGGACTGGCGGCAATGGCTGAGTGCTACAGTGTGGGAGGAGGGAGGATGTGTGAGGGGGAGTGCGGACGAGGGCAGATGGGAAGTGAAGGTTCTGCCCCGTTTGCTGTGGCCGGGGAGTGGGATGGAGGCAGGGAGGAGTCGCGGACAGGGATGGAGCAACGGGAATGGGAGGAACGGAGTGTGAGTGAGTGTGGGAGGGAGAGTGAGGAGGAGAGCAGAAGGCGTGCAAGTGAGGGGGGCAGCAGCAGCAGCTGCAAAAGTGACCGGGACAGCAGAAGCATCTGCAAAGGTGAAGGAGGCAGCAGCAGCAGGAGCGTGGTGTGGGTGGAGGTGGAGGCGTGTGGGTCGCTGGTGACAGAGGAGCGACCGCACACGCTCCTCCCTGCTCTCTGCCACTTCATCTCACAGCTACGCCCAGCAGGCAGCCACCCGTGGGACTGCTGTGAGCATGCAGGGGAGGACGGGGAAGAGAGGAGTGGCTATGGGAGGGAGTGGGCGGTGGGGCATGTGGAGGAAGGAGCGAGTGTTAGATGGGTGGGCGGGAAGGGGCGGGAGAATGAGCATCAGGATCAGCAGCAGTGGCAGCATCAACAGCAGTGGCATAGACTCGTGAATGCTCAGCAGCACGAGCAGCAGCAGCAGCAAGCTGTTGTGCAGCCTTTGTCAACATCAAGTCATCGCAGCTATCGCAATTCAGCTTTCTGCATCCCGCTCTTCAGACCTACCTCGTCTCAGCAACAGCAGCACCACCAGCAGTACCAGCAGAAGCAACACCAACAGCAGCAGTCCCTCTCCTGCACACTCCCGTCCCCTACTCTCTCACAACCCCTCAAGTCACCATCCGCGTCAGGTTCCCACCTCCCCTCTCCCTCCTCCATCCCGCCTCTCATCTCCCCGTCCTCCTCCTCTCCCTCCACCTCCACCCCCTCTCATACCACCCCCTCCCTCTGCACGCCCTTCTGGACCCCTGCGTGCACCCCAGCAGCTTTGTCGCCTGCCTTCACACCTGCGGCTGTGTCACCTGTGTGCATTCCCCCTCCCGCACTCAACCACCCACCCATGGTACACAGCAGCAGCATTAGCAGCAGTAGTTATAGGAGAAGCAACACAAGTCCAGCTGGGACAGTGGCATCACTGCGGTCAGCAGCAGCTGCAGCGGCGAGGGGGCAGTGTCAGGAGCGCATTCTTGGGTGGGAGCATGGGAAGGATGCGTCGCGGGTGTGGGAGCGGGAGAGGGAGAAAACGAGGGACTGCAAGCGGGAGTGGGAGCGAGTGAGGGAATGCGAGCGGGAGAGGGAGAAAGAGAGGACGCAGATGTTTCTGGAGGCGGAGAGGCGGAAGCTGCAGCCGGTGCGCACAAGTGGCGAGGCTAGGAGGTGGGAGGAGGAGGAGGAGGCGGCACTGCAAACTTGGCTTGAAGAAGTGTGTGGGTCGCCCACAAGCTGACTGGAATTGGTCAGTGGAGCAAGCTGGTTTCTGAGAATTCTCATAGAAGAGAAGGTGGGAGGAGGCGGCGGCATAGCGGATGGCGTTTGAACAAGTGTGTGGGTGGCCCAGAAGCTGAATGGAACTGCGCAGTGGCCGCATTGGTGTACATGGATGGAATGCGAGTCTGCTGTGCTGTGCATATATTCTTTCCAAAAAAGAGTAATAAAGGTGGAGCATGCCCGAGTGCTGTCAGGTGGAGCGGAAGCCTGATGTGCTCTCAAGTGGCTTCTACCGTACCATACAAGCACTCCAGCAACTAGAGTGTGTGCTCCTCAGGTGCATGCCCCCAAGGTTCAATAAGAGGCGCATCTCAACAGAGTTATGTTTTGAACTGTCAACATTATACAATCCATATTTAAAACCGAAATATAAAATAATCAACCCTGTCTCATCTTGAAAGTGTACTGCCGGAAATGTTCCAAACAAGACAATGTGCACTGTGAGCACATGTGATTGGCTGTCGCTAGGCCCCAAAATGTCAGGGTAAAATACCCTGATTGCCCTGACTGGTGGCCGCTTTTTTTGGGGTTACCCTGACCCAGTCAGGCTCCCAGATTTCTTACCCTGACTCATAAAGAGTTTGATTTTTTGTACCCTTATGAATTCCGAGCTATAGATTGTTTCCCGTAACTTTCATCAGTGTTTTACTCCTGTTACACTGATACCGAGTCTTTCGTAGCGAGGATATGGTGGATGTTACGCAAAATGGCACAAGCAAGTAGTGCACTCCGCTAATTTCCCAATGCGAGCATTGGACCTGCGACCTTTTCTCTCACAGCTTCACCTCTGACCAGTTCACATGCAAGATCACATATATAAAGGTAAACAAGCAAGTGCCCACTTCCTAGCTCATTGCCCCACTGAGCTCACCATTGCCCTCCTCGACAAGGAGCTACTTGCAGCTGAGACTAGCATAGTCGCTGTAGGTGCCTCTCGTGGCGACCCCCGTACCCCGTTCTTTTAGGGGTGTTCTCCTTCCCCCCTCCTTCCCTTTGTCGCCTCTGCTGCTGCTGTCGACCTTCTTGGTGCTGAGAAGTTCGGCGCTGCGTCTGCCTCGAGCGGACGCCGCAGCGGCAAGGGCAAAGGGGGCAAGGGTGGTGGCGGTGACGGCGGGGGAGGCGGCGGTGGGGGCGGTGGCGGCAGTGGGGGTGGTGGCTCGGCTGGAGGGGCGAGTGGTAGCGGTGGGGGTGGTGGCGGCAGCGGCGGGGGAGGTGGCAGGAGTGGAGGCGGCGGTTGGGGTGGCGGTGGACGAGGCGGCGGCAGGGGTTGGGGTGGTCGAGGAGGTGGCAGCGGTGGTGGTGGCCGTGGAGGCACTGGCGGTGGCCAGGGCCAGCAGCACACTCCCTCGCCCCAGGAGGTCCGTGAGTGGTACTCTCAGCACGGGGGTGGGGGTGGTCTTAGCTGCACGTACGTCATTCGCAGTGGTGACCGCACGCCACACAGCGCTGCTTCTCTCGTCTCGACGACGCTTGGCGAGTTCAGTTCCCTCATGCCACTGAGCTGCCCCGCTGGCTTGATCTCCTGAAGAAGGGGATTGATATCTATGCTCTAGACTTTGATGCTATTCTATCAGCCATGTATGTGATGTCTACTAGTGGAGAGGGTGCTGAGTACTTGTGTGTGCCGCCCGACCCGGGCATTAGGGCCAGTGCGTCTGCCGCTCCAGGTACTCGCGTGTCGGCTACCCCAGGTGCTGGTGAGGCTGCTGCTCTAGGTGCTCGTGTGTCTCCCCCCCTTGGTACTGCGTCGACTGCCGCACTGCACACCTTCACACTGGACTCAGGTGCTTCTCGCTGCTTCTTTCGTGACCGCACTGCCCTTGAGCCGCTTGCTCGGCCAGTTGCTGTCTCCCTTGCTGACCCCTCAGGGGGTCCGGTCATTACGACCTCTTCCACTGTCCTTCCCTGCCCTGCGGTCCCGTCGGGCACACTGTCAGGTCTCCACCTCCCCTCGTTCTCTACGAACTTGGTGGTAGGATGTGCACTCTAGGACGGGGGTGTTCACCAAGTCACCCCTGCCTACGAGCACGTGACACATTGCACGTGTGCTCGTACGGGCCGTCACTTGGCTACCTTCACTCGGCAGCCGGGGTCGGACCTGTACACACTGACTACTGAGTCCCCTCAGGTTGCTGCGACTGCGTCCGCGTCCGCGTCAGGTCAGCTGTCCGCCCCCTGCTCGTGTCGCTCTTTGGTACACGAGACTGTCCTCTGGCACCACCGCCTTGGCCACCCGTCTGTGCAGCGGCTTCGTGCCATGCACTCCCGGTACCTTGTCTCTGGCCTGCCCAGGGTCCTTCCTGCCCTCCCTCCCTCGCCTGCTCCTACCTGTCTCCCCTGTGTCGAGGGACGGCAGCGCGCCGCTCCTCACTCCTCCTCGTTCCCCCCGACGACTGCTCCCTTGCAGACACTCCACATGGACGTGTGGGGCCCAGCCCGCGTCCGTGGTCTGGGTCAGGAGAGGTACTTCCTGATAGTTGTTGACGACTACTCGCGCTACACCTCGGTCTTCCCCTTGCGCACCAAGGGTGAGGTCCCTGATGTCTTGATCCCTTGGATCCGCAGAGCCCGTCTCCAGCTCAGCGAGCGTTTTTACTCGGACTTTCCTGTCCTGCGCTTGCACTCTGACAGAGGTGGTGAGTTCTCCTCCGACCTCTTGGCAACCTACTGTGCTGAGCACGGCATTGAGCAGTCGTTCACACTTCCGGCTTCTCCACAGCAAAATGGGGTTGCGGAGCGCCGCATTGGCCTGGTCATGGAGGTCGCCCGTACCTCCTTGATCCATGCGGCTGCCCCCCACTTTCTGTGGCCGTTTGCGGTCCGGTACGGTGCGCATCAGCTCAACCTCTGGCCCCGTGTCTCCTTGCCGGAGACCTCGCCCATGCTGCTGTGGACGGGGGAGGTTGGCGATGCGTCGCGTTTCCGGGTCTGGGGGTCTCGAGCTTTTGTCCGCGATTCGTCTGCGGACAAGCTCTCCTCCCGTGCTGTTCCCTGCGTCTTCCTCGGCTTTGTCCCGGACGCGTCTGGTTGGCAGTTTTACCACGCCACCTCGCGCCGACTCTTGCCCTCCCAGGACGTCACTTTTGACGAGTCCGTCCCCTACTACCGCCTCTTCCCCTACCGCACTGCCCCGCTCCCCCCCCCGCCTCTCTTCCTCGCGCCAGGTGCTGCTGTTGCAGACCCCCTCCCCCCCTCAGGGTGCCGCTCCCTCAGGTGTGTCTCAGGTAGACCCTGTTGAGCCTATTGAGGTAGCTGTCGACTCTCGTCCTGCTGGGGGTGCTGAGCCTGGGGGTGCTGAGCCTGGGGGTGTGGAGCCTGGGGGTGTGGAGCCTGGGGGTGCTGAGCCTGGGGGTACTGAGCCTAGGGGTGCTGAGCATGGGGGTGCTGAGCCTGGGGGTGCTGAGCCGCAGAGTCCGGAGTCTGGGGGTTCTGAGTCTCGAGGTACTAGGCCTGGGAGTCCTGCACCTGGAGGAGCCCTCTCCTCGGAGCAGCTGCGTGCGTGGTACTTAGAGTACTGCAGCCTCCGGAGAGGTACCGCTCGAGCCGGACGTACTACTGGGACTAGTGCTAGTGCTTCTTCTCCCATTCGGGAGCTCCCCTCCCGCGAGCGGATCCGTGAGTGGTATGAGCGGCGCTGCATTCTTCGGAGTGGCGTGCCTCGTGTTACGGACCCCGCTGCTGTTGGAGCTGCTGCTGGTGTTGAGGACCCGGGCGTTGGAGCTGCTGCTGGTGCTGAGGACCCGGGCGTTGGAGCCGCTGCTGGTGCTGAGGACCCTGGCGTTGGAGCTGCTGCTGGTGCTAAGGACCCGGGCGTTGGAGCTGCTGCTGGTGCTGAGGACCCGGGCGTTGGAGCCGCTGCTGGTGCTGAGGACCCAGGCGTTGAAGCCGCTGATAGTGCTGAGGACCCGGGCGTTGGAGCTGCTGCTGGTGCTGAGGACCCAGGCGTTGAAGCCGCTGCTAGTGCTGAGGACCCGGGCGTTGGAGCTGCTGCTGGTGCTGAGGACCCAGGCGTTGGAGCTGCCGCTGGTGTTGCGGACCCGGGCGTTGGAGCTGCCGCTGGTGCTGAGGACGTGGGCGCTGGAGCTGCTGCTGGTGCTGCGGACCCTGGTGCGGGTGTCCCTGCTGGCTCTGGTGTCGCTGCTTGGTCTCGGCCGTACTTTGTTCCGCTCCTTCAGCAGGATCTTGGTCAGCTTCCTCCTCCTTTTCTTCCTCCCTCCTTAGCGTGTCCTCCGCCTGTCCAGCTGCAGTCGCAGCTACCGTCTGCCTCCTCTCTCCCTGGTCCTTCTCCTTACACTAGTCCGACTGGAGGTCTTACTGAGCGGCGTGAGCCTGCGTCTCGTCCTGCGTCGCCTGAGTCTCGTCCTGAGTCGCTTGTCCGCACTGCTCTCTCTAGTAGTCGAGTCCAGCGTCAGCGTCTTTCTGCTGTCCCAGGCACTCACCGGATGGCGCTTCGTCCGTCCACTGCTCCACAGCGTGTCCCACTGCCGTCTCCTCCTGCTTCCTCTCTTCCTGCTCTTACTGACCCTGGGTCAGACTCTCTTCGTGCTACCAGTCCTACTGTCACGCGTCTCCTGGCTACTGTTGTCACTCACCCTTCCTTTGAGTCTGCTGCTGCGTCTGCCTTAGTTGCTGAGCTTGTCGACTTTGCTGCTCGCTGTCCTCTAGACTACGCTGCTAGCCTAGTTGCTGAGTCAGAGTCTGTCTGTCCTCCGTCCGTCGGGGGTGAGTGTGCTCTTGGCACTGACGTCCTTGAGGACAGGCAGGAGGAGTTTGAGTGCTTTGCTGCCGCTTTGCCCCATCTCGTGTCCATGCTTGTTGCCCCTAAGGGAGACCCGGATGCACCAGACATCCCGACCCCACGCTCTTACGCAGAGGCGATGGCCGGTCCCTACTCCTCTCAGTGGCAGTCAGCCATGGACACAGAGATGGCTTCCTGGAAGTCCACAGGCACCTACGTCGACGAGGTTCCCCCACCTGGGGCGAACATCGTCAGTGGCATGTGGATTTTCAGGGTGAAGCGGCTGCCGGCCTCTCCGCCTGTCTTCAAGG